GCCAGTTCTTAACCAATGCGCCACTCGGCCGGCCCCCGCCTAGCTACTCTTCACTTCAGCATTCTCCCCCTGGCCTTGCTATGGAGTCTTTCCTTGATGTGTGCAAAGATCTCTAAAACTTTTCAGATCTTCCTCCCAAGCTCCCCTCTTCTAGACTTGCCATTAATAATGCTCGAGTCTCTTCCAAGTTGAATGATTTTTTTTCCCATTTAAATGTTTCATCTATTTGAAGATTTACTCTCTGTTTCTCGCTCCCACCATAACAATCCGTCTCTCCCCCAGGCAATGTAAATGGAAACTAAAGAACTGGTTTAAACAGTCTCTTTGGATGAGTCCCTCTACATAAATATTCTGTGTTTCAGGTTTCTCTACCCCAGGTTAGTATCTGGCTATGTGTGTGTGTGTGGGGGGGCTCCCCTGGCCATGGGGATCCACACTTGTTCTGTGCATTTTTACTGGGGTCCAACAAGGCGTAACAATCACACCTGGCTTTCTGGGCAATGTGCCAATATGTCCGATGGGAATCTGTGTTGGCCCATTTGTCCCATTTGTCCCTGGGAAAGTGCCTTAGCTGGCTCTTCATCCTGGCCAGGCCTCTGCTTGAGCTCTCAGTCCCTTCAATCCTTTAAGCGACACATGGGAGCTTCTGGGTCCCCTGCATGGCCAGGGAAGCCAGGAGCCCTGCTTTGATCATGCCTCCCATGCCACTGGGGCACCTTTGCTCTGCACCTTGCTGGAGGTGACTAAGAGTATAAGGCAGACTTCTAGAGGTGTGCAGTCTTCCGCCTCCCCCACCAGTGAGTTTGAGGAAGCATGACTCAGGCGCTGAGATTCTCAGCACCCAGGGATGTTTCTAAGCACCCCTGCACCTCCATCCTTGGATAGCGAGCTCCTGACAGTCTGGCGTCTTCACTGTCTTCTTCATCCCTTGTCCCCAAGATCAGAAGGGCACGCCTTTCGTCCTTGTCCCTCCTGCCTGACAGGATGCCCCTATAGATTCCACAGTCTGCACCCCAGGCCTGCTTCTTCCCACACCAAAGGAATTTAGAAAATCCTTTCTCCAGACAAAGAGTGGCTTTCCAGGCTGTTCAGTTGCTGGGAATTCAAACAAAAATCTAGTTGATGTTTGGAGCTGGGCAGTGATTTGCTCCAGCAGGACCTACCCTTGCCCATAACTGCAGTGGGTGGACGCCCCCCTCCCTCACCCCTGACGCACAGGCTGAGGAGATAGATTGGAAACTATTTCAAAATATAATATCTCATTTACAAGTTCCCTTAATAATATTGGGTTGTCAGAAAAGTCATGATGCATTTTTGCAATGAAAAACAGAAAAAATACGTCATGACTTTTCCGAAACCCAATGTTTATGGGGGTCCTACTCTGTGGTGGGCATTAAGTTAGGACATTATACACTCCTTGAAATTGTTTTTAATAGCAGCTTTATTAAGAAATTATTGACATACCCTACAATTCACTCTTAAAATGTACAACTTGATATTTTTTAGTATATTCAGAGTTGTACAGCCATCACCACCATCTAATTTTAGCATATTTGCATCACTCCAAAAAGAAGCCCCATATCTATTAGCCCAATCTCCCTTTCTCACTGCTCCTGGCAACCACCAATCTAGTTTCTGTCTCTGTGGGTTTGTCTATTCTGGAGATTTCATTGAAACAGAATCACATAATATGTGATGTGGCCTCTTGTGATTAGCTTCCTTAATTTTATATAATGTTTTCAAGCTTTATTCATGTTGTACCATGTGTTAATATCAATACTTCATTTATTTCTTATTGCAGAATAATGCTTCATTATATTAGATATGCCACATTTTATTTATACATTCATCTGTTGATCATTTGGGCTGTCTCCACTCTTTTGGCTATTATGAATAATTCTGCTATGAACATTTATGTACAAGTTTTTATGTGGACAAATTGTTTTCATTTCTCTTGGGTATATACCCAGGAACAGAATTGCAGGGTCATATGTGAAACAAAATTCATCTGAGTAAGTTTTAAAGATCTTATTAGCTTTATTCAACAATTCAGAAATCAGACAGCATCCAATCTGGCAGATAGAAAGGAGCTGAATCAGAGGAGCTATAAAGGACTTTTAAAAGACTTATATAGGCCGAAGGGAGTGCGAACAAGAAAGTTATACTAGCAAAAACATTTTGGTTGTGGCAAGGTCACCTTCCTTTAGGGGCTGGCAGGGGTCTATCTGACAGATGACCTCACTAGTGCTGATTAGGTGATTACTGATTTGACTGGTTTAAGATACCATTTCTGGGAGAGCTGAAACTGTAATGTTAAGTCTTGGTTTGGTGATGTAAAGCTTTGCATAAGTAACTCCATCTTGGGCTGTTGTCCTGTTTTTAATATATGGTACTTACTTAACATTTTGAGGAACTGCCAAACTCTTTTCTAAAGTGGCTACACCATTCCTACCACAGAGTATGAGGGTTCCAATTTCTCTGCTTTCTCACCAATACTGTATTTTTTACTCTGGCCATTCTAGTGGGTGTGCAGTGGTACCTAACTGTGGTTTTGATTTGCATCTCCCTGAAGGCTAATGATACTGAACAACTTTTCATGTGCTCCTTGGCCATTTCTACATCTTCTTTGGCGAAATGTCTGTTCAAAACCTTTGCCCATTTTTTAGATGGGCTATTTGTCTTTTTAGTGTTGAGTTGTAGGAATTCTTTATATATTCTGGATACAAGTTTTTTTTTCCCACCGCTTTTTGAATTTTAAGAGACATCTAAATTAAGGTTGGAGTAGGGGTTGCAGTTTGAACAGTTGGTAGAGTTCATTGTAAGTGACAGAAACCTTGCAAAGAACATACCCCAACTCACATGAGGGGGTTCTCATGCAGGGGCAGACCCTCGAGAGGAAGCATGAAGGTCTCCACTCAGATGGCGCCTCCTCAGCAAGCCCCTGCAGTCCCACCCCCGTCCATCTTTGCTTTCTTTCTTTCATGGTGTTTATCACTGTCTAAGGGATGGTGCTTTTCCTGTGTGTCTGCCTCCGTGAGGGCAGGACTTTGTGTGTCTCCTTCACTCTCTCCACTGCCTACTCCAATAAATAGTGGTTAAATAAATAGTTAAAAGCTCTGAGCTGCAGGGACGGTCTCTAGTTTGTTTTTGTTCTCCTTTTAGCGAGTGCTAACTGGGTGTTAAAGGCTCCACGCTGCCACTTGCACCTCAATGTAACAGGGGGACTGAGTGAGACTTGAGGAGGAAACAGCCTCCTGGGGCGTGATCCACACAGCTCACTGGCCCCCACCCCACGCTGTGGGAATCCCCAGGCTTGGGTTCTTTCTTGCCCACTCACCAGCTGAGGGACCCCATGGCATCACTGAACCTCACCAGCTTCTGCCTTCACCAGAGTAAAGGATCAATACCCCGCCGACCTCCCAGAGCTGCGTGTGGATAAGAGGAGACAGCTTACAGAGACACACCTGGCTGCTCAATAAGTGATGATAGAAACTCAAAGGGCTTAGCAGAAGATGGGATTTAATTACTGGCTTGGCCTGCTAAAATCCTACCCTTTCTTCTAGGCCCAACTGTAAAAAGTAATAATATTTTTTACCTTTTATTGTGAACTCATTATGTGCCAGGTACCTTGCTAAATAAGCGCTAAATAAACATAACATTTTATTTTATGCTTGCATTAATTCTATAAAGTAAGGATTTAGTAGTCCCATCTTATAGATGAGAGGACTGAGGCTTAGACTAGTTTTATGACTTGCCTAAGGTGATGCAGCCAGTCCATATTCTTAACCACCACATTATAACAATGACTTAAATGCCACCACCTACGCAAAGACTTCCTGCCCAGTGGCCTCTCCCTTTCTAAATACTCATAACTATACTATTCCGCCTCTGATGATAATAGCTGCTTAATCTCCCTTGGGGGTGTGTGTGTGTGTGTATTTGTGTGGCAAGCATCTGTTTCTTGAGGGCTGAGACCACATTCACTCATCTCTCCCCAGGGTCAAGCTGGGTTCCTGGCACACTGTAGATATTCCACCTGTGTCTGCCAAGTAAATGAAGAACTGAGGGTTCCTGGGCTGCTTCTGCCAGGCTCCATCTCCGGGGAGGACAGATGAAGAAAAATGAGCATTTGCATTTCCAGAGATATAAATTAGCTCCAACAGAAAGCCCTTGGGATGTTTACCTAGGAGAATGTGTGGCAGGGCCTGGGCAGAGCCAGAAAACCCACACCAGCACAGCGACGGCACAGACTGGGGAGATGACTTTGGGGAGGGCCCTCCTGGTCTATAACACTGATGCTGTGCTGGGCTTTTCTTGTCTTTCCAGATCCACTCCCCACCCTGCTTGAGATGAGAGGAAGAGGAGAGCGTGGCGCCGGGGTATTTATTCCGTGCACTGGGTGAGGACGGCTAGCAGCTCTGTGGTTACTAGCCCCAGGATATCGCACTATCCTGGGTATTTTCCCTCCACGCTGACCTTGGCTTTGTGGAGAGCTCATTCAAGTCCCTTTACCAGACCCTCCTCAAATGATTCTAATTTGAGTGTGCCCTCTGCTCCTGCAGGAATCCTGACTGATAAGGTGCAGTGCCCTTTCCTGTGCTCTTTCGGTCACTTCTTGAGATCAGGGTCTATATTTACTTATTTCTGTGTCTCCACACCTGGCATGGTGCTTGGAACACAGCTCTCATAGCTAACATTTATTGAGCACTTACTTTGTGTCAGGCATTTTTACCTGTATTAACTTAAATAATTCCCAGAACGATCCCTTGATTATCACCTCCAGTTTATAGATGAGGAAACTAAGACACAGAGAAGTTAAGTAACTTGCCCAATGTCACATGTCTTGTCAGCATGGGCAGATCTAGGATTTGAACCCAGGCAGTGTGACTCCTGAGCCAACCCTGATATTGGGCTGCCTTTCTGTTTGTTGTTTGGGAGGTGATGTCTACTAGCCTAGGGAACCAAAAGAACTTATTTTTTGCCCACTCAGGGGCTCAGGCAGAATGGGCAGAAGGTGGAATGTAGGTCACTATGGCAACCAGATCACCTAGTCACACAAACTGGTGAGCCCTTGGGGCTGAGGTTCTGCAGCAGAGAGAAAGGTGGGGCTGGCATGGGACAATGTTTGAGGTACCAGATGCATTGGGAGGACCTGGAAGAATATCAGGTGGGTAGATCAGGCAGGAGATTCTGGGCAGAGGTGAGAGCTTCCCGAGTCAGGGGGGGCGAGCAGAAAAGCTCTTACCCGAAAGTCAAGAGTTTACCAGTCACAGTAATGGTGGCCCTTTCTTTTCCAAACCTGCATCCATGTGGCCTAGACCAGTCCTTTGAGGCCCCCTCCCCATTTGTCTCCTGCCCCAGAGCCCGGTTTTAGTCTTGTCTCTGATCCCTTGTCTAGGTCTGTGCCACATACTCCTTCCCGAGGCCATCGAGGCTGGGGAGGAGGGAAGGACACCCTTTCCTCCTCCGCCACCACCTCAGGCATCCACTGGCCAGGGCTGGGGTGCCTCCATTTTCCCAGCTGTGGGATGAGAGCATGGGTTTTTCCACCCTGGCCCCTAAGCTCCCCCCTCCCTGGGAGGCCAGGGCAGGGCTGGACGGAGTGGGCAGGTCACTTCTCTGTGGTTTGTTGTAGGCCCTGACCTTTCTGACCAGAAATGAAATCCTGTGGTGAGTAGAGGGGCCCTTTTGACTCCCCCTGAGCTGGGGTCTTGCCCTGGTAGAGAGCTGCACCCTGGTCCCTGAGTGTGGTGCCTACTCAGAGCCATAGAACCCTGGAGATGAGGTTGCACAGGGCAGGCAGAGATGAACCCCAGCCCCAGGGTCAGAGGCCATGATTCCCAGGCTAGACTGGAGTTGAGTGAATATTAGGCTTTAGGCTTCTATGGGGTCCAAGGCACGGTTTCTTCATAGAATCACAGAGATGGACAGGGCCCCCATGGGATAACGTGGGAAAGGAGGAAGGACTCAGAAAACAGGTCTGAAGCCCATCTGGGCCATCCACTGGCTGGGTAACCTTGACGTGCTACTGCGCCTCTCTCCAGAAAGATGTCCTCCCTTCCCTCCTCCCCCAAGCCTCTCTTCATTGCCTGGCATGTGGCAGACACTCTGACGGCACTGGGAGTATAATGGTGAGCAGTGCCCAGTCCCTGTTCTCACGCAGGTTTCTGTCCAGTGGGGAAGGCTCCAGGGTAAAGACACATCACAATAACCCCTCTTGGGATTGCAGAGGGAGTGAAACGCATAAGAGGTATGTGAGTGCTCCGCCCAAGCCAGGTGCTCAACAGAAACTTGTTAGATGGGTAATTGAACTCACTAAGGCGTGGGGTGGGGTGGGGGTGGAGTAAGGGGACCACTTTTAGATCTTCAGGACTGGGATCCTCTCTCCTCATTGTCTCGGCTTTGACTCACCCTCCTCAGCCATGATATCCAGCCTAGAAGCCATACTTCCCGCTCAGGGTCCCAGACAACGCGATGACTTTGCCACAAGCATGAGGCTCCCCAGGCACAAATAGGGACTGAGGGGTGGCCAGGAGACAGGGAGCTACAGAGACCAGGGACAGCCTGTGGCTACATTCTTTTCCTTTTAAAATTAAAATTCACTCACTTTTTAAAAATATACAAAAATATGACAAAACTCCAAGTGACTCATATCCTACTACCCTATTGAGGTTTTCTAAAATGTAACTCTTGAATAAAAATAAAATAGTGTTTTAAAACATAATATGTGGACATGGCTAGAAAATTCAAATAGCAAAGATAGTTCTCAATGAAAAGCAAATGCTTCCCTCCCTTTTTCCCAGGCCTTCTCCCCAAAGATAGCTTCTGTTCAGTCAGTTTCTCATTTAGCCTTCCAGAAGAATCTTTCATAGATAGACCTACATATATATAGCCTTCAAAAATTGTAACCCATTCATACTGTAGCATTGACCCATTTATAGTGTAGCATTCACACTGTTCTGGACTTTTTTGGTAAGTGTTCATCTTGGCTAGTTTTGCTTCAGGCACATGAGATCTGCCTCGTTCTTTTTTTAATGGCAGTGGAGCATCCTGTGGAAAAAGCATAATTCATTTTACCAGCCCCCTATATGTACACTTACGTTGTCTATGGTTTTCAGCCTTACAAATAATGTTATATTAAATACTTATGTAGAAAGGGCTTATCCACCAGGTAAGAATAAAGCCGTAACAGAAATTTCTGGCCATAGAAATGGAGATTTTCCAGTTTCCAGGCCATGTCCTGGCCGTTAGCTCCTGGTCCTCCTGGAACACCGGTAGGCTAGCAGGCAAAGTGGTTTGCAGACTTGCTTCCTAGAAGCCAAAGGCCTGAGTTCGAGGCTCAGCTCTGCCACTTCTTAGCTGTGTGGCTGTGGGTGAGTTTTTCCTTTGCTGAGCCTCAGTTTCCACACTTATAGAAGGTGTGAGACAAGAGGAACGGAACCTAACTGCACATGGTTGTTACTAGGATAATTAGATAATCAAACCCATGCTAGGAGTTAGAGCAGCGCCTGGCCCAAGGGTCAGTGCTGAGTATGTGGTAGCTGCTATTTTCATGGTATTATCATCTCCTTTTTGCAAATAAGGAAAATGGCTCAGAGAAATTTTGGTGACTTGCCCAAGTCACACAGCTTGGAGGCAGGGGATAGTGGGACAAAAAGCCACATTTTCAGGCTAAAGATAGGGTTATTTATACAATACCTGCAGGCTGTGCCACAGGACTATTGATCCCAAGCCCAGGCTGGGACTAGAGGAGCGGGAGTGGAGGCCTGCCCTGGACCTGGCTCAGTCCTGCCTCTACCATAGAAACATGGACGCTTGTAGAACCAATAGGTGACTAGGCCCTACCTCGGCCTTGAACGAAAATCTCTAGGGTGGACTCAGGTCCTTTCACAAGTTCCCCGCAGGATTCTAATGTGGGACTCAGTTGAAAACTGCTGAATTAGAGGGCCTCGGAGGCTAGGGGTGAACAGGACGCCAGACAGAGGTACAGAAACAGCCATGGAAAGCCTGAACTGGAGGGATCTGGGGGGATCACCTGGACTCATCTTGCAGAGGGGAAGCTGAGGCCCGAGAGGGGCCATGGCAGGTCCAAGGTCCCACCGAGTGCAAGCAGTTGAGCTGGTCTCCTCCCCTCCGAGCTGCAGACAGCCCCTCCCTCCCTGTGTCTGGGCTAGGTGTGGAAGGGAGACACAGCCTGGGCTGCATGATTTCTGGCAAGGCTGAGTGTGTGAGTTTTTTAAATGGCTTTGACTTTGAGTCCATTAGTGATTAATTCAGGGCTCCACTTAGAGCCAGCTGATCCATATTTGGAGGAGGAGAACGTTTTGTGGCAGCTGAGATGCAGCCACGATTCATCTGCGGGCAGCCCACCCACTCGGAGGACTGGAAAGGCATGAAGTCTGGGCAGGGCCCTCCCCACAGCACCCCCTCCCCAGAAGGCTCTGCAGGGCGGTGGGGCTGCAAATCTCTCACCTGGGTGGGAGTGAACACTTTAGGGGTGGGGGTGAGGGGTGGGCACAGCCCGAAGAACCTGGTTTAGGGTTCAGACCCCATTCCATCTCTTCCAAGCTATCTGACCTTGGGCATATCCCTTAAGCTCTCGGAGCCTATGTATAGAAATTACCCATCTATAGAAATGATCACCCCTATGCCTCTCCCAGGGGCTGTTGGGAAGATTCAACAAGACAATGTGCTTGAATGCACCTAGCATATGGAGCTTGGTAAATGACAAAAGAGGGTGGCAGTGGCAGGAGGGGTTCCTTCTTTTTCCCTCAGCTGTCCTGACTTTTCCCCTCCCTTCTCTGGGCTCCTGGGGAAAGAGCTGGGGTGTCTGCAGCTCTGGCTTTCACACTTACCACTGTGTGACCTTAGGCAAGTTATTTTACCTCCTTGAGCCTCAGTTTCCTTGTCTGTCAACTAAAGGTAATGACCCCGTCCTTGCAGGATTGTCATGCGTGTTACATGAAAAGTGTCCGTAAGAGTTGGCACCATGCAGCAGGCACTCCCAGTGGGGGACCTTGGTGGCAGACAGTGGGAGCAGGCCACCCTGGGCACCAGCCATACGGCCTCAGGAAGTTCTTAAAAATTAATAAAAATCACTGAAGTTCAGTCTGCTTTTTATTATCACCTCCCACGAACAATTGTAACAATGACAGAGATACAATACTCCCTTTGCCTGGGACATATAGCGCCCACTGCCCGCTCCTCTTTCAGGCTACTGGACGCTCCCGTAGTGGTGGCTTTCCTCTCCTCCTTGCTATCCTTCAGTTTCCCCCAGAACTTCCCTAGAGAGTGTCTCCCGCTGCCCATTCCACACCCTGCTTTTCAACTCCCTCCCACACTTGTCAGAGTAGTCTCTGGTGACAGTTCAGGGCCCCTTACGAGGCTGATGTAGTCTGTTCTCCATGAACGTGAGTGGGAGGCTGGAGGATGAGGGCTTGTCCTCCCTTCTCCTGGGGCAGAGTTCCCTCCTGCCCTCGTCTTCTCAGCAGTCACACAGCATTTTGCTCTCTGCCTGTCACTCACAAGCAAAATTCCCTGGACTAGTGTGGAGGCCTACAGGCAGAGACATTGATTACAGGATCGGCTAGGACAACTGCTTAGTCCCACAGTCTGTGTTACCAGCTTGCTGGGCCTTAGGCAGTCTTGTGGTTTGCGGGGTACAGGCAGCTGGGTTCTAATCCTGACTTGGCCACATCCACGGAGTGACCTCTTTCCTGGGGGCTGAAGGTGGGCCTGGGCAGATGGCCTGAGGTGGCACGCTGGCTTCCCCAAACAAGCCCCTACTGGTTTCTCTATCTGTAAAGGGACTGGACTGAGTGACAACAGAAGTCCCTTCCAGCTCTGGCTTCCTATAACTGACACTTCTAGAGTGTGTTCCAGGCTATAGAGCATATTCACGCACCTTTCCTCACACCTGGTTCATCTTTGCACCCCCCCACCCCCCACCCCCTTCCCGCAGTGTGCTGGGCACACTAGAGCCTCAGGGATGTTTCTAAGAAGGGTGGAATAATTTACAACTGCCCTTTCTGTGTCAGTCAATCCTGAGTTCCCTTCGTCCAAAGAGAGCCCAGCAGGGCAGGGGGCTTGCTGGTCTCCACTCCCCAGCCCATCACTCCTCTCTTCTCAGCATCCATGACACCTTCCTGAAGCTCTGCCCCCCTGGAAAGTATTACAAGGAGGCGACACTGACAATGGACCAGGTCAGCTCCCTGCCGGCCCTGAGGGTGAGTCCAGGATGGTGGGGTTGGGGGCAGTGGTGTCACTAGAATCTCTAAGGGCTGAAAGTGCTGGTCTCAGTTTCCTCACCTGTGAAGTGGGTGGAGAGATGGGGTGGCTGAGGCTTTCCACGTGCTCCCTAAGGCTCCTTGCACTCCAACAGGCTGTGCTGGCCTGAGTTGTCAGTGCCTGCGCCCCCACTCCCAATCTTTTAGGGACCATCCTTGAGCCTTTTTTCTGTTGAGACAAGGCCCTGCCCTTCCCCCCAGAGAGCCTGGAAGAGCCCAGAGGTGCACAACAAAAGAGCTCCCTAATCAATCCTGAGATTTTAATTAATATTTGTTCAATGCATAGAAAGGCAATGTCAGGTTAACAAATCATGGTGGTGTCAGGCTTCCCGATTTTTCATTTGGATCTCAGCAGAAAAAAATAAATGCTTTGAATTTGTCATTGTGCAACAGAACCCATCTTCATTTCTGTCTGGAACAAGATGCACTCTGAGAGCTGTGGGCACCTCTTGGAAGAGGGCCAGGGACCTGGGTGGGGGAGGCATCCTGAGGAAGAGGTCACATGGGTGGAGGGGGCACACATTCAAGGAGGGCTGCGAAGTGACAGGTCTGGTTCGAAGGTGGAGACAGAGGAAGGACACAGGGCTGGGGCTTGAGACAGAGGCAGGAATGGGGAAGTCAAAAGAATGAGAAGGGGACTGGAGGAAAGGTGGGATGGCTGGGGTTTTGGAAAGGAAAGGAGCAGAGTCCTCAAAAAGGTGAAATAATTGGAGAATGTACCTGTGCCAGGTACAAAACCTGCCTTCCTGGTACCTCCTACTCACATACGCACCCCCCCACACACACACTCCCACATATGCACATGTCCACACCCCGTCACACACACACGTGCTCAAACACACCTACACATGGTGGCTGCAACTTCTCTCAGACCTAGACTCTCCACTCAGGGACCCAAGGGGCAGCCCACAGAGACAAGGCCGGGTGGGTAGGAGATGATGTCACTGATCAATTCCAGAATATCTAAATGGTAAGCCTGGAAAGAAACCTGGAGACCACCCAGTCTAATCCCAGTCAAAGGCTCTCCACCCTGGTTTTACCCATCAGAAAACTGAGGCCCTGAGAGGGAAACACCTTGTCCCAGGGCCACCTGATGGCAGAAACTGGACCATCAGTCAAGACTCTGACCCCCAGGCTGGGCCCTCTATTTCTTAGCTCAGTGTTTACCATGCGCTTGGGTCTGCAAGGTACCCTGGGGGCACAAGGGGAACTGGCATGAAGGGTGTTGGGTGATCTGTGGCCCCAGCACTCTGTATGGACCCAGCACACCTAGTGGGGTCTGGACACTCTGTTCTGAGCCCAGAGGACAAACACTGGACTAGGATCAGAGGGCCGGGTCTGACCCAACTCCATCACACCCCACGTATAACATACTTCCCCTTTAAGCATTAGTCTCTTGTCTGTGAAACAGTATGTGCACTCTGTGCTGTGTGTAACAGACCATGTAGGGGTGAGCCGTGTTCCTCAGCACCCACCATTTATCTTCTCATCCACTCCTCTCTTGCATCTCAGGGGTGGGAGCTAGGGGGGCAGCAAGGCTTGAGAAGAATGGAGGAGGGGCAAATGGGCTGGAGGACGCTGGCAAGGACCCCAGGTGGTCTGGAGTCTGCTTTGGCAGCCAGGCTAGGTAGGTATCCATGGAGCAGGAAGGTAAGGGCTGCTGTAGAGCACAGTGATGGACAGCTGTGGAGGGTGGGTCTCCCGGCAGACAACGCCCACAGGGCAGGACTAGGGTCTGGGCCGTCTCTGGAGCACCAGACCCTCAAGAACTTTTTCTCTGGACTGTGTAGCTGGAAACTGAGGTGAGGTTTTGGGATGAGATTACTTTAATCTTTTTTTTTTTTTAAGATTCTATTGGGGAATTGGGGGAGGGGAACAATAGTGGGGAATTGGGGAAAGGGAACAGCCGACTTATTGTCCTTCAATCTTAGTTGTGGAGGGCGCAGCAAGCTCAGCTCCAAGTCCAGTCACGCTGCTCAGCTCAAGATGCTGAGTTCAGTCTTCGTTGCGGGTGGGCGTAACCACCATCCCATGCAGGAGTTGAACCAGCAGCCTTGTTGTTAGGAGCACATGCTCTCACCAGCTGAGCCATCCTGCCACCTGTTGGCAACTCAGCTCAGGCGAAGCTCACTGGCCCATGTGGGAATCGAACTGGAGACCCTGTTGCTCAGAGTTCGCGCTCTTGGGCAAGCTCTTAACCAACTGAGCCACTCGGTCGGCCCGAGATTACTTTAATCTTACTTTTCTTATTTTGTCTTTCTAAATGGTCATTGTTTTATTCTCGCATACAAATAAAAACCAGGTCATTGTAAAAAAACTAAAACTGGAAAACACAGAAAAGCAAAAATACAATAAAAGTCGTCAGGTAGCCCACCTCAGGGGATGACCACCGTGACCATTTTGCCTTGTTTCCTCCCATACTTTTTTCTATGCAGATATGTAGGTGTTTATTGGGATCACATTGACTTTTTTGTTTGTTTGTTTTTTCACTTTTCTTTGTTTCTTTTCCAACTCGTTCCAAACAACCAGAGCCATCTCATGAATTGAGGACACTGAGCCATTGCCACATCTAGAGAATTAGGGGACAGGGTACTGGGCCTGGAGTGGAAGAGCTGGATTTGGACTAACTTGCTAGCCATGTGACCTAAGGCAGGTCACTTCATCAGAGGAATGATTGGGGGTCTGGAGACACAAATAGATCCCAACCAAAAAAGACTGGGCTGGAGGAACGTAGGCATGGAACCTGTTCTCCTTGAAAGAGGGCAGGCCTGGGCCTACGTGCTCCCAGGCATAGGCTTGGATCCAAGGACCAAGATTTCTCGACAAGACAAGGAAGTGCTTTGTATTCATCAGAATCGTGCATAGAGAGAATGAGCTCCCTGTCACTGAAGGGCACCAAGCAAAGCTGGCCAAGCGTTTCACTGAGGTATCCTATCACACGTGTAGGTACCAAAAGGAGACTGGGCTATGTGTGTGGGTCTCTCCTCCTTACCCTCTGAGTTTGTGGTTCTGTCCCTAGGGCTTAACTTTCTTTTGTGTCATCTACCATCGTACATCCCAGATTTTGGACTTTCGTAGTCCAATAAAATTTCAAAACAGAAATTCTTTTTATTTGAGGAAGGACTAGCTAGAGATGCCAACTTTCCAATTTTGCCAAGTAAGGACATTAAAAAATATGTCAACCACAATCACCGTCATTGAATTTTTTTTTTAAAGTTCCTTTTAGAAAAAAATGTCAGAAAGATCTAACCCCAGAAGCAAGAACAGTTCTTTCCATACACATCCCTTTCTGTGCTTAAGTTTTCCCCTTTGTTACTGGTTGTCAAGAACTTTGTCACTGATTATCACTGGTCCTCAGACTAACTTTTGGGGATTTAGATCTAGGAATAAAGTTTCCCTCTGTGTCTTTCTAACCCTGGATGAAGTGAAAATTTGACTTCCCAAAATGAGCAAGGAGAGGCTTGCTGGGAGGTGGGGGCCCGAGTGTCCCTGTGTCCTCTGCGGCCCCAAGGACAGGAGCTGCGTGACTCACACAGCCCAGAACACGTCTCTGGAAAGGGCTTTGAGAATGGGGCCCCAGGGAGCTCCAGGCGCGGCTGTAACTTGGCTCAGGGTCTTGAGTGATCTGGGAAGAAAGTTCTGTTTTCTTAACTTGGGTTCACTCGTGGAAAAAGTGGGTTGGTTAATATTGGGAAGGGCCTGCCCATCACCAGAAAGCAAGGCGCGAGTGGGGTCTGGGCACCAGAGAATAGTGGGACAAGCCTGCTGACAAGAAGGCCCTGCCTTTTCCACTCAGAAGACTTCTGTGTTGTTGTTTTTTTTGTTTGCTGCTCTGTTTGGTGTATTTAAAAGTAAATTAGCTCAGTGTTTCTGTTCTTGTAAATAACAATCTTGCTTTCTGTAAACACGGATGAGTAGTGACATGGTGTGACCCGGGTTTCTAATTTCTGGGCCCAGGATTGTGGGTGGCAGGACTCATCGTGAGCTCTTGGGGGTCTCAAAGTAGATCTGGTGGAAGCTTGCACACCAAATGAGGCCATTGCACTCCTCTGATCTCTTCCCACCTCCCCGCAGTCGTGGGTGGTCTGTCTATGCACAGCCCAGCCCCTACTACATTTTATCACAGCATCAACTCTGTAAAAGCACGGAGAGGTTTAGAAGCCTGCCTGGGGTGTCTGGAGGCTCTCCAGGTGTGGGTCCTGAGGTTTCAGCTCCATTTCTGTTCCCATCACTCCCCAGGTTTTCTGGGCCTTCCTGAAGCCTGCTTATAGTCTGGACCTATTTGCTTAGAATAGCTTGCAAAGAGCTCACTCCCAAAGCTTTCAGCAATACGAAGTCTTCATATTTATTCAGCCTCTCAAGAAGTCACCAAAGTAGGAGGGGCAGGAATGGGAGTATAGTTGTTAATATTTATTTATTTGTTTGTTTGTTTATTTTAGTTTTTAAGTAAAAATTCTTCATGCATGCTAAGAGTCAAGTTGCTCTGTGAGGGTTTTCCTTATCTGGAGGCAATTATTTTCAGCTCTTAGCTGATTCTTGCCACTTGCCTCCATAGCTCTAAAGAGCACCCTTATATTGCCCCTTGTTGGTGTCACAGCTTTGGACTTCCCCCTAGAGAGGAAGTTTAGCCTCCCCTTACCCTACGCCCATCCTGTACATCACTCCCTCCTCCTGCCCTGCAAATCTAGTCATATAATAATTTAGGTTAGATCAGTATTCATTGTTACATTATTATGGCTGCATAAGATAGTCAGATCTGAGCTATGAAATAGACTATGGTTATTTTTCCCTTTCTGCACATTTTTTTGTTGTTTTTCCTGGTATCGCCATTGTTTTGGCTTAGTTTTCTACATTATTAAGTCGACGTGAAACCTCTGCCAACTCTCTAAATTGTCATCTTTAAAGGCTTTCAGAAGCGAGACATTTTCTATACATTACTT